TTGTTAAATGAATGTATATTTGAAAAAAATTTATTAAAGTATTAATTAATCATTTATAGCATTATTTTAAATAATACTTTTTAATATTTTTGTTTTAATGTTTAAACTTTTGTTTGACTCTCCTGTTCTAGTTAAAAAAATTATGCTATTATATTATATTACATTATATTATATTATATTATATTATATTGTCCATCTTTCGTTCTTGCCTTATAACCGTCAAATTTCAAGGCTTTTTAAACTTTCCAAACGAGCTTATCACAGCAACATTCAAAGTTTATCTTGACAAACTTTCCTTTTCAAGTTAAATATAAGATATAATATTATAAACCATAATATTAAATGCTGTCTGTTACTGGATGATCTTAAATTCCGCATTTGTAATTTCAAGTAAATTAACATTGGAATTTCTTCATCCTAGCAGGAATTCCATTAGAATTTAAAAGGCTTCTCAACTGAATCAAGCACTCGAGTTCTAAGGAACTCTTTCAACTGACTTCAGACATTTCACCACAACTTTTCTCTCTCATCGGTCTCTCTCATCTCTCCGTAACCTCACATCATGTAGTGGTCACTCTCTGACCGCTGCGATGACGGACAGTCCCAGAGGTTCGGTTTTACCGCACATCTTCTCGGCGTCTGTGGTGCAGTATGGTATAAGCTCAGGTCATCACTCAAGCTCTCTGTGACCACAGGCCGATCTAATGGGAGCTAATCGGGCGTCAGCTCTCTTAGGTCATTTTTGCTTAACCTTCCAGAAAAAAAACCTAATGCATATAGAAACAACAACAACCAAAAGTACATAGGCCAGGCAGGTTTAGAGACCAAACACCTTCAGCACAGGTGTAAAACGGAGAAAACAAAGCACATTATGTTGTTTGCAGGTGCAAGAGCTGGAAAAAACACATCGAAAATGGGAGGCTGGATTACTGACTGTTTCATCCGCCTCATAGCCCGCCAGATGCAAAGGAAGCTGTTCTCTATCCTTCATCTTATCTTTGGAAAATGTGGCTTACTCGTCCATTTTGCTGAATTTTTCATAGTGCGGAGTCAACACACACGACAATAAAAAGGTGATTTCAAGCGAAAGCCATATCCGGCAGACTTTATGGGCGTGCGAGCACCTCACCCGGATCCCCCTCCACCACCACCTTGCTTTCTGCCCACATCCCAAGACAGAGTGAAGACCACCCCTCCCTGTCATGCTTATCTACTGTTTTTCAGGCCGCTGGACAGACCTCACCCCCACTGGTGCTTTGAGACGGGGGGGCTGCATCAATACTGCTTAATGTTTTAGTGAATTACAATATCCACCCCAGGCTATGGGCTGCCTCGCTCTTTTTCCTCTGACTAGGAGAGAGTCAGACACGGCCTGGGTGGTGCAACTTGAGGTGTGGGATGAAAGAAAGAGATGCAGAGTTAGATGGACGGAGATGTTGACTCAGAGAGACAAACTTCCACATCTAATCAATAGAACACCCGCACTTGTCAAAACTTGAGTTCGGTGCCCCACATAACTGAAGTTGCAGTACGGGCTTGTGAGTTTGTGTATCAAACTGTACATGTTTAATCGAAACGGAACTGTACATCGATGCTTAGCACATCGCGTGTTGCGTCAGCGTCTCGGTTTGAACTTCTGGAACTTCGAGACACTTGTTAGAAAGTGCAAACAGATAGAAAGAACTGAGAAGTAATAAAATTCCGGCTTCCTTATTCCTCAGTCCTTCTCACCCCTCCACACCTGTCCGTCGTGCGTTCGGCCACGGAAGAGTGCGTTTTTCATTTGGATAATGGAGCATTGACTCTAATTGAGAGGACAGCCTCATTTGTTGGCCAACATGTCAATGGCAGGGCCTCTCATTGTTTCCACTACATTTACATTAATGCATTTCTCCCCACTTCTATTAAACTGCATCCCTCCCCAGCCAAAGCTGCTGCTGCTGCCTAATGCTGCTTAGTCAGTGAAAAAAGGTTAATAACAATCAAGCAGAAATGGGAAAGAAAGGCTCTGTGTTTCCTACAGCTCTTCATTGGCCTTCTGTAACGGACAGCGGTTGAAAAGGCAGAGGAGACCAAATTCTGCTGAGATTTTCTCTTTTTGTAATTTTATTTATGGGCTTTTTAGCCCATATTATAGAACATTTGAGAAGGACAGGAAAGCTGAGAGAATGGGATTGGGAAATGACCGTATGCTCAAACATGAATCCTCAAGAGCCAACAGCTCTCAAGCACCACAGATTTATGTAGTTTTAATTGTATTCATTTGAATCATTCTTTTATAAGCATTTTTAATATTTTTATTTTTCTAAAAAAAAATTAATACTATATTGTTTTACTCTAATATCTTTTTTGATAATTTTATGTTATTTTAATAATTTTTTTATTATTATTTTATAAATAATGTTTTATATAAACATGTTATATTTAATAAATAATGTTTTATATAAACGTGTTATTTTAATGTTTTTAATATTAATATAATATTTTAATATTTAAATTTTTATACAGTTTTTACACAAACCATTATACATATATTTCTTTTTTTCTTCTTTATTTCTAGGAAAAGAAAGAATTAGGCATATTTTTTTCTCTCAATTTCAATTTGTTTTAATTCTACTTCACTGAATCAAAATGCAATTCTGCATTCTGTTTACCTTCTCGATTCATATTGAGTTCAGATTCAAGAATATTATTGTCTGTACAAAATACTTAGGTGGTTCCAAACAAGAAGTCGTTTGTGTCCAGGGGTGCCTGGTGTTTTATGTTTTAAGCTCATAAGATTTTGATTAATTAAGGAGCAGGCACAGTAAGTGCAAGAGAGATCCCATTACCCAAAGGTTGGTTAAAGGAACTGTTATTGCCTCTCTTAACCATGAGCTCTCAGGACAGGGTTAAACTCCAAGGTCCTAAATTTGTATAAAATTAATACGTTGATATGAGTCCCTCGGGGTAAGCAGCTTTTATATAGCAAGATTCAGACACATACAATACACAAACACACATTTACAGTAAAACACACAATACACTTTGTATGGATGACCGAGTAGCACCTGTGCTGACAAGAGCACTCTGCCCCAGAGAGTAGCCCTCATCTGTCATACACACATCACACACACATACACACACATCAGTGTTTTACCATTGAGATTAGCCAGGTCATCTGTCATTACACACACACACACAGCCCTTGCACATCAACACACTAACACACCTGCATTATGTCTAAATGAGTACTTCTCAGCTCTCATCATCTCACAATACACACGCTCCCTAAAATAATCCATCTGACCATGTGTAGTATCAATGAAACATTTCTCATTGGGCCTTTAAGCTGCACTTCAAGAACAGTCACTAAGCCAGTCTCCACTAGCACAAATGATGACACCTGTCAGAGGAAGAGAGAAACATGACGCGCCACCACATCCTAATGTTCGCTGATAAGATTAGAAAACATTGTGTTCTTCGGTGACTCAAAACGAACAGGAAAGCAACAGAGTAAAGAATCTCATTTGCATCCTTTTCAGGGGAGAGAAATGGATGAGAAGAAAGAAAAAGCACATTCATTTACATGCTGATACACAGAGCGAAAGAAAGACACTTCTTCACACAGAGACCTAAATGAGGGGGTAGATACTCATTTAATTCCAGCGCGGAGACAGAGAGCGAGAGAAAACGCGTAAGATAGACAGAATGAGTGAAACAGAGGGAGGTGAATATGAGGAAAAAGACGAGAGAGGCCGTGAAAAGGGGAAACAGCAGTTTGTATTAGAAACCTGTAATTTAAATCAAAGGTTATAATCAAAAATTTATCAGTTAATTGATCTCGCACATGCTGCTTGCCAAGAGAACAATTTAGAACCCTGTCGCTCGGGTGCAAATCTATCGAGCGCTGCTCTATAAAGTAAGTTTGTTGCCTTGTAATGATCAAGCAGTCCTCTAATGTTCTCTGAAAGCTGATATGATAGGGCCCAGACAAAGCCATTCAGCAGCCGGGACCCCACATAACTCAGATGCTGCTGCTTTTCTCTGATAAGACAAAGAAAAATCATGCCTCAGAAGGAAGCAACAGTACTACCAAATATTACAATTCTGTAATAATTTACTCACCCTTATCTTGTTGCAAATTTGTATGCTTTTTTCTTCTGTTGAACACAAAAGGAGAATTTTGGTGAATCTTCATGTAATATTTTTGTCCATATCTTTTAAGCTCCAAAAGTCCTGTAAGTTTTTAGATAGATGTATGTGAGGAACACACAGAAATGTTGTTATTCTTTGATAAACTTTTCTTTTGAAGATTATTGAGTGAGCTGAATTTGAGAACATAATCTGTCCAAATCATTTAAAAGAACTACCTCCAAAGAAAAAGAGTCATTCAAAGATCGAATTCTCAAGTTCAACTCACTGATTCATTGATTCGTTCAGAGAGGCTCTGGAGTTCTGGAGGTCAGAATTATCAGCAAATAATCTAAACGTTGCTTTGTTCCTCACATAATCTGTTGTATGGCTTTAGAAGACTTTGAACACAGAGCACAAGTCATTTGGACTGCATTTATGGTGTTATCATGCTGGTGTTTGGTTAATTTTGAAGTTTGAAAGATGTACGGTAGCCACATATTTCTTCTTTTAACTCTTAATACATTTGAATATCAGGTGAAAAGTGTATAGGGGGAACATTCCTTTTGCCAGCAAGAACAGGGATCTGAATCAGCGCTTGGATTTAATCACTATAAGTGGTTTTAATATCTGAGGCTTATGTATGATTCAGGTTCAGATTATCAGGTGCAGTAGTTGCTCTGCAAGTTGTTCTGGCATTATCATAGAATTAGGTCCCATTCTCTCCTCTCATGTGTTATCACGACCCAGGCATACAAGGCTCTTGAGATGATCGCTCATGTCATGTCTCATTGCAGGCATTGTTCCTTGAAGAGTCAGAAAATCTGGATTAGTATGAGATATGTAAGAATAACACTGATAAAATCTCTCTCCTTCTTTCTTTCCAGGGTAACCAGGAGGCCCCTGCTCCCCCAGAAGCCATGGCTCAGCCGTATGCTCCAGCACAGTATCCTCCCCCTCCACCTCAGAACGGGTTGCCTGGCGAATACACCCATCCTGGGCAGGACTACACGGGGCCCAGTCCTGTCCCTGAGCATGCTGCAGCCCTCACTATCTACACACCGACACAGACACACAGCGAGCCACCTGGCACTGACAGCAGCACGCCTTCCCTCACAGGGACTAGCAGCATACCAGTGAGTGCCACTAGCATGGAATATTTGTTTAATTTTTATTTTATATTTGATTTGATTTTACTTAGAATTCCATGTGAGTCATACGAGTAGCAAAATCACAATGTAATTATGTTGCATCTAGTGTAAGGTGAAAAACCTGTGTTATTTCACAAAAACAATCCTGCTGTGAAAAATATATATATATTCAATAAAAAAACAATGCAACTTACAGTTTTATAAAGTGTAAATCTATTTATGCAAAGTAAATTGCCATTGGGAGATGGCAAAAAGTTAATTTTTTACCCCATGAATAAGACGTTTTTATTCATTTTTGAGTTACTTTTTACATTTTTGTTGTCAGGATCAGACTATAACGGCCCATTTTTAACATGTCTGCATTCAGACAGACTGAGATAAAGAGAAATGGGGGCTAGGAAATAGAAGAGTGTGGAATGAAAAGAGCTATAGAGCTAGTGCAAGCAAAGATATAAGCATAGGACAAAATAAAAGACGTTGAGAGAAAAACCATCCTTCTCCTTTTAAAGAGTTCTTCTGCTTTCTCTCTCCATTTTATCAAGCTTTAAACCATGGCTATCACATGGCTTCATATCTTAAACCCCATGGAGCCATTTACCATGGCTAACAATATCACAAACGTCTCAATGGACCACTTAACGAGTGCTGCCCAAGTGCTTTATCTGAGCATATGACAAGAAACTCTGAGAGGAAAGAGTGTCCTTAGACCCGGTCCCGTGGGTAAGTTGTGTCTTGTCTGTTTGCGCTGCCCGTTCTTGGTTCCTATAGGCCTTTGATTAACCCATTCACTTACACTGGGAGGAAAAATAGGGGAAAAAGCAGAAGGACAGATAAATCCCTAAAGGTTATTTTATTTTATTTTATTCACTTACATTTGATTTGATGTTATATAAAGGATTCAGGGCTTGACACACATCCTTTTAAAAAAACCTATACCATGGGCCTTGTAAAATACAAGGTTTTAGCATCATTTAGTCACTGTATTCACTGGAGATGTTGTCGTAAATATTGGACAATTTGGCCCAAAGTGTCCCAACTTTGTCTGCAAATCTAAGTATCTACATAAGCATCTAAATACACTTTCTAACAGTTACTTTTGTTGTTATTGTAGCTAAACTACTATATTTCTTACATTAACAAGATATTTAATGTCGTTGATAAACACCATGAGTGTCTAATTTTTTTAAGAGGATAAAGACCTTGCTGGAGCCCAAATTTGTGTTCAGTTTGCTAATTCACATCATATGGAACTAGGGAGTAAAATGAGACACAGCCAGAGAAAGGTCATAAGAGAGGAGTGGGAAAGAGAAATTAAAGAGCATAAAACTTTTCTTCAATGCAGAAAGAAGTACAAGGTTTTCCTGGCCTTGGGGGTGGGGGGAAGGATGGATGAATTGGGATATGATTTCTCTTTCTGATTAGGATATGCGTAAAGCTCTGAGGTGGTGTGGTTTAGAGGAAGTAGATATAATCCCACGCTCAGCAGATCACTGAGAAGCGATGCTGACAGGCCCCGTAAAGGCACCTGAGCTCTGGCTGGGCTAATCCACGGCTCGATTGGAGGATGTACTTAAACTGTCACTCTGGCCTAACCCACCAGGGAAATTCTCCCTTTCTCCCTCTTTTCTCTCTCCCCACGGAGGATCATTAGTAAAGAAGGAACACTACACCTCAGAGAGTGGACGGTAATCACATCAGATCACATATCAGATCACAACAGCACAAACTCTAGATGCTCGGTAACTCTGCGATAAAAGACTACTTACCTCTCTTTAGGGTACGTGCTAACAGTTTTCCACTACGACTGTCATATTGCTTTGGGTGGGATTGTCTAAACTGTGATTTGCAACTCACTCAAACACAGCTGTACTGCTCAAAGGAGCGTGATGTTATGTTATTAAGGCAATGCCATTATTTCCTGCACTTATTCTTGGCCGTCTTCCCTGAGTAGTTTTTACTGTGCCGTTGTTAATAATATTGCAGGTATAAGCGCTCTTTAAGCCTCCGTATTCGTTACCAGCTAAACCTGTTGCGAGTCAGATTACCTTGTCTAATTAATTAGAGCTTTGCGCAAGACTGAAAGGCCAGTGTCTTCTTTCTAGATGACAGGTGATGGTTTGTATTCGCATCTCGGTGTGAGGGAGGGATGATGGGATCGGAGGGGAGGATGGCAGAAGTGTAGAAGAACAAAAAAATATAAAGCGGCTCAAGATAATCCCTTTAAGTGAAGCACTGGTTTGGCCCTAATCGGATGTAATCTACCTGCTTGGCAGCTTTCCAATCAGATAGTTTCAATTATGTGGTTGTAGGGGCATTCTGAAGGGGGGAAGTGCTGAGCTGAGCACTTTGAAAGTGATTTGCAGATAACACTGAATGAGTGCGGCAATAGAAACGATTTAGCAGGACTCATTCCCCACCCAACTGCATAAAAAAACGCGGGCATGAGCGAATGTGGGCAAACACGAGCCTTCTGTGACGTTGCGGTTGGGGAGGGGGTTTGGATGTGAGGTCCAATGTGGTGGTGTATGATAATGTTCAGGCAATTATTTCTTGGTGCTGCTTGGCTGCTCCATTCCTTGTGGAATGTGAAGTGCAGGGAAGTTGCTCTTCTACAACAGGAACGGAAACAAGAAGTGCATCGGCTGTATGGAATGAGTGTAGTCCAGTGTTAGGGAAGGCTAGCAGGAAAACACAAGTGAGAGGAGATTATCCAGTATATACTGTATGTGTTAGGGCAGGGGTTTTTGAAATCGATTCCCAGGGCCAACAAATATGATTATCTCCTTTTGAGGGACCTACTATATATTTATACTGTGTGAAGGAAATATTACGTGTGATGTTAAGACAACATGTTACTTTCAAAATGCAATTAATTGTCTTTCATACTGCCATTGTACTAAAGCAACATGTTAAAATTTATTATTTTATTACTTTTAATTAAAGTTATTATTGTATACATCAACTTAAACACTGATAGATAGATAGATAGATAGATAGATAGATAGATAGATAGATAGATAGATAGATAGATAGATAGATAGATAGATAGATAGATAGATAGATAGATAGATAGATAGATAGATAGATCTATATTTTCTTACTTAGATTTTTGGTCTTGTTTCTTGTTTTTTAAATCAAGAAGGATTTTCTAGACAAGTATAAATTATTGTCTTGTTTTCAAAAAAAACAAGTCAAAATTAAGTGAGTCTTTGCTTAGCACAAGCAAATCAATCTGCCAATGGGGGAAGCAAAACAAGCTTATTTTAAACAGAAAACAAGATTACTTGTCTAAAAAATCCTTCTTGACTTAAGAATTTTTAGATATCTTGGCTGGAAATGAATCTAAGTAATAAAAGCATTTTTTGAAGTGCATATTTCATTAATGTCTTAATGAAACATTAACTTTGTCAGCCCTAAAAATACATTGTATATATTTTTCTTTCAAATTTTCAGCAGATACTCTGAAAACTTTTCTTTTAGTTGAGTTAGCATTTCTTTTCAGGTTGCATGTAGTAACATTCAATTTAAAATTGATATGATGCATGTTTACTGGAAAAATGCTGGACAGAGTATGTCAGAGTGATAAATAGTCCACATTTGTCATTCACTAAATTATTTGGCATATTTAATCCCAGACCCTGGCAAACGGAACATTGTTACTCCTGACTTCAGTTGTGGTAATTGGCTGTCATAAACCTTTAGAGGGAGTAGTATACCTACTTGGGGTTAATTTGGGGAGCTCTTCTTAGCTGACCATAAAATCCTCCCGTATGGATTTACTGTTAGCTTTTTTGGCAGGATCCACATTCTGGAACTCTAATGCAGGTTGCTTAGCTCCTCCCCGTTGTCATCCTGGTAAACGGAGTGCTGGAGAGAGGGTCATAGTTCGTGTGCAAGTACAAGAAAGACATCAAATCCTCCTCCTAAACATCTCGCGACGTCCTCCGGAGGACGACCTGGCAACCTGAGCGAGCGGGGAGTTTGCCTCCACCTCGAACACCGAACACTTTTAATTACTTTTCACCTCGTCTGTGGAACTTGGGAACGCAAAGCCCTCTGAAACCTTGTCTCTGAAAGAGACAGATGCAGCCCATGCTAGCTGCAATATAATTAACATGCAATTAACACAAATTAAAAGGCAAATTGCGCAGACAAACCCCCTGTAGATGGCTGCTTAGCGGTGACGATGAGATAATTAGATCCAAACCTGGAGTGCGGAGTCTCGAACGCTTACCTCTCCTCTCCCTCTCCTGGCCTGGTGTCAACTCCTCCAGAGAAGAGCACTCCAAGCCGCCTCGCTCAAGAGCAGGGGAAGTGCTCCGAATAAAGACAGAGAGATTATATCGTTCTAGTCGAGAGCAAGCGAGCGAGCCGGACCGTGTGTTTTACAAAGCGCTTGTTATGGCGGAACAATTGTCCTCTTTTTAAGCAAAGCGCGCAGGACGAATGCGAAGCAGCCCTACGATTTCTCTTCATTTTTATCACTGTCCGCTACTCGCTGCGCCGCGTCGCTACATGATGACTTACATCTGAGAGGACCTAGTCAATACGTGTTCCCATAAAGCAAGCAAATCAAAGCCCTCATCCTTCTCTCCAGCACTTCGTTGGGCAGAGCGAGGAATTGGAGGCTCTCAGAGGCTACGCTCCGCCGGTTGGTAATGGGCGAGTCCGCGCCATCGCACCACTCACCTGTTAGACATGATAGATAGCGCGGCTCTCTCCAGAGCGACTGCAGACAGAGCATGTGAATGACCGATGGCACCGGAGTGATGGATGAGGATGAGGGAGCGGGAAGAGGTGCAGCCCAGGGAGAGGGGGCACCAGGGGGTAATTGCACCTCCGCTTGCCCATCCATCTGCTCGGCTTTCCATCTACCACCATCAGGCAGGGGCTACGGGCCTCGGCTGCTCGCCGACCTCAGGCGGCATACACAAGGGGCAGAACGACAGGCTGTGTGGATCCAGAGCCGACCCGTGTGCTTTATCTTAACAGGGCTTGACTGTCTACATCGCTACGATGATTGATAGTGCCAATGTGCTGGTAAACACGGTGTCCTCTCACAGAGACCCCGGAGAGCCCATTGGGAGAGACTGTGCATTAGAGAAGATGAGGAAGTTGTCAGATGGAAAAAGCAGAAGTTGGTGACCCTCGACATTTAATGGTTCATAGGGATTCATTGTTGTTATACTGAATAACCTGTAGCAAGAGTTCAAACTTGCCTTCATTGTTCCCAACTAAGACACAGAGGTGTCTCTTTTATGCACAAAGGTGCTTTTTTAAATTAGAGTAAATGTACATTTTAAGAGCGAGAACCTTCACTCCTACCCATAAAGGATATTTCACCCAAAAATTAATATTCTGTCATCATTTACTCATATGCATTCCAGACCTGTATGACCTTATTTCTTCTTTAAAGCACACATTTTAAATATTTTAATTGAACCCCATTGACTTTAATTGTATGGACAAAATAAACACTGAAACATTTTTTTCAAAAGGACGACCTGGCAACCCGAGCGAGCGGGGAGTTTGCCTCCACCTCGAACACCGAACACTTTTAATTACTTTTCACCTCGTCTGTGGAACTTGGGAACGCAAAGCCCTCTGAAACCTTGTCTCTGAAAGAGACAGATGCAGCCCATGCTAGCTGCAATATAATTAACATGCAATTAACACAAATTAAAAGGCAAATTGCGCAGACAAACCCCCTGTAGATGGCTGCTTAGCGGTGACGATGAGATAATTAGATCCAAACCTGGAGTGCGGAGTCTCGAACGCTTACCTCTCCTCTCCCTCTCCTGGCCTGGTGTCAACTCCTCCAGAGAAGAGCACTCCAAGCCGCCTCGCTCAAGAGCAGGGGAAGTGCTCCGAATAAAGACAGAGAGATTATATCGTTCTAGTCGAGAGCAAGCGAGCGAGCCGGACCGTGTGTTTTACAAAGCGCTTGTTATGGCGGAACAATTGTCCTCTTTTTAAGCAAAGCGCGCAGGACGAATGCGAAGCAGCCCTACGATTTCTCTTCATTTTTATCACTGTCCGCTACTCGCTGCGCCGCGTCGCTACATGATGACTTACATCTGAGAGGACCTAGTCAATACGTGTTCCCATAAAGCAAGCAAATCAAAGCCCTCATCCTTCTCTCCAGCACTTCGTTGGGCAGAGCGAGGAATTGGAGGCTCTCAGAGGCTACGCTCCGCCGGTTGGTAATGGGCGAGTCCGCGCCATCGCACCACTCACCTGTTAGACATGATAGATAGCGCGGCTCTCTCCAGAGCGACTGCAGACAGAGCATGTGAATGACCGATGGCACCGGAGTGATGGATGAGGATGAGGGAGCGGGAAGAGGTGCAGCCCAGGGAGAGGGGGCACCAGGGGGTAATTGCACCTCCGCTTGCCCATCCATCTGCTCGGCTTTCCATCTACCACCATCAGGCAGGGGCTACGGGCCTCGGCTGCTCGCCGACCTCAGGCGGCATACACAAGGGGCAGAACGACAGGCTGTGTGGATCCAGAGCCGACCCGTGTGCTTTATCTTAACAGGGCTTGACTGTCTACATCGCTACGATGATTGATAGTGCCAATGTGCTGGTAAACACGGTGTCCTCTCACAGAGACCCCGGAGGGCCCATTGGGAGAGACTGTGCATTAGAGAAGATGAGGAAGTTGTCAGATGGAAAAAGCAGAAGTTGGTGACCCTCGACATTTAATGGTTCAGAGGTTTCGCCGTTGTTATACTGTCTAACCTGTAGCGAAAGTTCAAACTTCCCTTCATCGTTCTCAAATAAAACTGGTTATTGATTACTGACCGTGTGAAGGGTGTATGTTTAGCATTGTCTATACACAACATTTAGTGTAATCATCTATAGGGATTTTTATACACAAAGGGGCTTTTTAAACACACGTTTAAAGGGACATTTCATCTAGAAATTAATATTCTGTTATCAATTAAGCATTTCAGACCTGTATGACTTTCTTTCTTCTTTAAAGCATACACTTTAAACAATATTTTATTGTTTTTGTCCATACAGTGCCAAAACAACATTGGACCAAATATATGGACAAAATAAACACAGAGACATTTTTCAAAACAACATCAATATTTTTACTCTTGGGTTTATGTTTGTTTCCCCTAAAAATTGCCTTTGGTAGAGCTTTCTTTCAGTAAGGTTGCTTGAATAAATATCAGATAAGCACAGAAGATGCTTGTCTGCATGGTTTATTATATCTTTATGTTAATTGCAAAAAAAGATACATCTTTGAAACCCATAGAAATGTAAAGTCGCTTCTGTCATGTTACTGGTGTAATTTCCCCTGTAAAGACATATGTCCTCTGCAATAATGGTTTTGTTCAGCGAGTTAAACTTTAAAATCTCATTTCAGCTGATATTTTATCATGCCATTTTTCACCTTCTCTCTGTAATGAGTGAAAAAATGAATGCCTTCCAGGTCCAAATCTTTTGCATTTGAGTTGGTATTATGTTCTTAGCTGTGTCTACATAATTGCATTTACTTCACCTTTTTCCTCTATTTTTCTCTGTCAGGGTGCGAGCGAAAAGGGATGGAGTGATAGATATCTCATTATATCTTCATTACCTAATACATGATATATTGCCATCTTCTATGATTCATATCTCTTGTGTGTTTTGTGCCTAATGAGGGGGAATTTGTCCAGCCCACTTATTATAATTAACTATGTACATGAAATACAAGAAAACACGCTTGGAATGTACAGATAAATCTCAATACTATCAAAAATGATTGAAAAATCAATTCAATAGGGATGCACAGAAATCATGTGTGAGAAAGTTTTGATTTTCAGCTTCAGTTTTTAATCTTCAGAATTCACTTTAGTGCTCATTTTATGCGTGAAAAGTGTAAGCTTGTTTTAGGCTTTTCTGACTATTGAAAGCGTAATAAGATCCAAAAACTTAACCATTTCACTATATCTAGCGTGTCAGCTTTCAGGCTGTTTATACTCCATTGACTTCCAGTCCTTTTTAAGTATTTAAGTCTTCTACTGTTGTTCATACAATATTTACGACATTTTATTATTAACTTGTTATTCACTGTTTGTGCTGCGGACCTGAATGATGCCTCAAATCATGCAACTTTACTTTTGCTTTACTTTTAATGCACTTGACATTTTTCAGATAAATTTTCACCTTACAGATGATAACATAGGCAAAAATACCCTATAGTCTTACACTGAAGAACCCCCAAGCCATTTGTAACTATGAGAATATCATAAAGACTGTGGATTGTACTGTTTTAGGCTAAAAAGAAAGCACCTAGCAACCGACAAGACACCCTAGCAAACACAGAGCAAATTTCTTTCTTTCTTTCTTTCTCTTTCTCTCTCTTTCTCTCTCTACAGTGTGAGTGTGCTCTAGAATTCAGCTGTCTATGGGCCCAGCCAAATGTAGCTGCCTTCAGCACTTCTTTCTCATTGATCCTGCTAAGCTGGGGGAAGTTTAGCTGACATCATCTCTTCATCTGTGCTCCCATGTTCTTCTAATTCGTTATGTACATGAAGGGCTGCCGCTCTGGTGCTGCGCTCACCATGCTTTTTCCTTCACTGAACATGTCTGCACACAATAGCTGAAAAACAAGACAAACTCTTAAACGCAGAGGAGTCTTCTGCATCTGCCAGCCATTGCATCACGTCTGGATTAATTATTAATTCAGTTATGCACTAACCTGATCCTCCCTCAAGAGCATTTTGTTAGATAATATTTTTCTTTATAGATATTGATTTATTATTTCTTTCTGTATTGTTTCATAATATTTGATGTGATTGAATATACATAGGTGTAGATAAACAGATATTTTCACTGATATTATTCACACTTTTCTACTTAAATGTGTTTATTAAATATTTTATCACATTTTGGTTATTTTCCAGCTCTGAGTACATTCAGTGTAGTATGTACAATCCACACCACAGATTTTTTTTTTCTGAAATCTGCTCAGAAAATGCAAAACAAAAACGTGTTATTGTAAATGAAAAATAAATAATAATATAATCATAATATTATGAATATATGTATTTTATATAATGTAAATATTATTTTATCATAATAATATTGTAATATACTTATTTATTTAAATAATATTTTTGTATTAAATCAACAATGCATAGTTAGTTTTTATTGACACGGTGTATAGAATATTTAGTTTTTTATTATCAAAAAAGCAAAAAAATTTAGACAGCTAAAAAATTGTTCTCATCTTGGATACTTACAATAATGTTTAATAATTAATACTGGCTGTAAAAAAAAAGAAATATTGGTTGAGTTCTATAAGAAACACCACTGTAGTTTTTGCACACCAATGCGTGACAGGGCGTCTGGTCGGAGTCTGGTCAGAAGAGGTCTTATGAAGCTCAGAGAACAGCGAGAGTAATAGTGAGAATGGGATGAAGGCTGTAGCGTCAGGGCTTGTGAGGTGAAAGATGAATGTGCGTCATGGACAGCAGTCCATCCTTGAGCACAGCTGTGTCACTACCATTTCCTCCACATGATGGACAGATGAGCACACCATCTTTACGCTTACTTTCTCTCTCCCTCTCCCATTCTCCCTCAGGTCTTTATAGGCGGCTGCTCAGTAAATGCATTCTCTGGTCTTCCCATGTCAGAGGTTTTTTTTTTTTCTTAAATCGGTATCCACACTTCCTGACAGCTTCCTTAATCTTCACCGCCACATACAAATGTTGGCAGAGTAGAGGGAATTTGTAATATGCCACCAGCATGCCCTGATCTCCCCCTGCTCACCCACCCCCTCACCGCCCCGTAACCGTTGCCTGCTGCACTTTTTCCAGGTCGTGACGACATTTGAGGTAGGAACTAACATGGCTATGCTTGTGTGTCTTTCAGCAAGCGGACGATGTGGTGCAGACAGACGGCTCTCAGCAGCTTCAACTCCAGCTACAGCCCTCAGACTCTTCGGAGAAGCAGCAGCCCAAACGGTTACACGTCTCCAACATTCCCTTCCGCTTCCGTGACCCAGACCTCCGGCAAATGTTCGGGGTGAGTCTCAGGCCTCGGCCAGATGACAGCAGGTTGTATCTCAGAGGAAGGCCTGATTATCAATCCTGTTTCAACTCTGACAAGGACATTGATCTTATGTGCAACAGTCCAAAACCTGTTTAGATACTGTAGTTGTAGTCTGTTTTTGTCTCCTCTAAATGACTAAACTAGGACTAAACCCAATTTAACATTTTAATTGAGTTACCTAGTGTGGCCAGTGTAGTCTGATTCCCAAACAAATACATTTTATGAGACTTTTTTTAACAAATGAAAACTGGGGAATTCAATTTTCAATTCAATTCAATTTTCAATTTCACATCTCCCCCCCCCAAATCAAATCATTCACAATACGCGATCCGATTGGAGCAATTCGAAACATTTTGCGACTCAATGGTTTAACTGATTCAGAGTTTCATAAAGCTCCGTTGATGCTGTGTTCTTTGCTTGCTTTCTCTATATAATTTATTTGTTGCTTGAATAACCGTGGAAATGAAATCTTTGCAATTAATAGGCCTAACTTACAATGTTTTTAATAGATTGGGATCACGTTAAATACAGTTTCCGTCGTATTAATACATTTCAGAGAAAAAAGTTTTCAAAAGCATCCCCTGCTTTTTTCACAAATCGCACCCTGTATGTATACTGTGTATATATATATATATATATATGTATATATACCCTGCCATTCAAAAGTTTGGGATTATTTTTCTGTATTTTTTATAAAGCCTTGATGAGCAGAAGGAACTTCTTTAAAAACATAAAAAATCTTACTGATCCCAAACTTTTGAACGGCAGTGTGTGTGTATATATATATGTGTGTGTGTGTGTGTGTGTGTGTGTGTGTGTGTGTGTAGCTAGAGCCATTTGGTGCGTGGTGTGTGTGTGTGTGTGTGTGTGTGTGTGTGTGTGTGTGTGTGTAGCTAAAGCCAATTGTTGCATGGCATTTGTCATTTCTAAAGAGACATTTAAAACTCCTTAAAAAACTTTAATATTATTAAGGAACCAGAAGCCAGAGACATTTCATAATGTTATAAATTAATGTCATATGAAGGCTTTTCTAAGCTAATATTAATGTATTATATGCAAAAAAAAGCTGAGATCAGTTCAACAACCAAGTAGCATATTATAATGTGAACAAAATTGTAGACACTAAATCTCCATAGTCAGAGTATAGTCTAAATATTTTAGCATAACCAAAGTATTTTATTTTTCATTTTATCCCTCCAAGCCTAGAAAGTGCATGACAAAGTGCTAATTGATTTAACTGCATTAAATTAGTTTTTGTTTGTATATGTAGCTTGTGACAAGGGATCAGTAAAACTTGTTTTTTTAAAACAAGGGTATTCAATCAAAAAAGTATTGTTATACTGAGAGCAGCATCAGGCTCTGTAATGGTTGGTCATTATTTAGCGTTTTATCCACAGCTACTGCTCCTCAATCTGCGTTTAGATGTAAGCACTCTCGGCTAGAATAAAAACAAAACTAATGAACAACTCGCAGCTTTCTTTAACCGAAGAAACATCTGTGCCCGTCTTTCTAAGACTCGAGGACTCATACAGTTAAACTCCAGCATACCTTTGAATTATCAACAGCCAGCAAGGGAGCGGCGTTAAACACTGGCAGCTTGTTACTGGAGGCTACAGGCAGCGTAAGGAGGAGAAAAAACGCTGCTGGTCCCAGCTTGTTAAAAACCGGAGTCTGTGTTTACTAAGGGCACTGTATAGCAAACAGTAATACTTAAACTGGTGGAGGACTCTGGGTGCAGCCTGACTGCTGAGTCTTGAGAACATCTGTTCCTCACGCTCTTTGTTCTCTCTAAGAGAAGCTGTCCTCTCCTCTCTGCTCCTCTCCCGTTCTGCCCAGCGTTGATGTGATGAGCAGAGAGCCACACAGTGGTCCCACCAGTGGAGACATAATTAATAGCGCTCCTCACTGTGGTTAAAAACTAGAAGTTTATCCTCATTAGGTTTGTGTTGGCTGACAGCTCCGATGTGAAAACAGGCACATGTGTGACCAAGTGTGTGTATGTTGTGTATGTTTGTCTGAAGAGACTGCTGCAACTTGCTGTGAAGTCTCTCAGGGACCCAGGGGTGCAATTATACCGTGCCATAGATAGACTAGTGGGAGAGGATGGGATGGACAAGCGCTGCGCACCTCTAAAGTCCCAAAAAATGTGAGAAAAGGCAAGTCTAAGAGCAGTGACTGAAGCACAAGGGGAGAAGATTTCCATCTACTGATGGTTTCAAACTCCTTAAGCACTTACTCAAGGGGTTTACTGGCTACCCGAAAACCTTTGGCTTCTCCCCATTTTTATAGTTCTCAAAAAAATATATATATTTTATTTATTTATTTATACAGAAATAAATGACAGTGTTGATATATATTAAAATAGAAAACAGTTATTTTAATTTGTAATAATATTACACAATATTAGTATTAGAAAATTTTATTTTTAAATTGTATATTAGTAATAGTGTATTTTTGATCAAATTGATATCTAATGTAGATATTAAAAAGATATAAATAATAGATCTAAATGATATAAAAATATAACAAATATGGCAGAAGGATATACAAGGTACCTGTTTTAACATAACTTTAATAACACAAACTGTTTGAGATGTAATTGTGAGCCCATTGTGTCAACAATAATCTCGAGACGGAAGTACATTTTAAATTAAACCTTCAAATGAATGACTTGTATCTTTCAATGTTAATTCTTTTGATTATGGTAGATAAACAGTCACAGATCACACTCACTTTTAACTCAACTTTCTAAACCATTTCTGATTTCTCAATTTAGCAAGATGGAAATTCAATTTGGAATAGCTGATTATGAGAACTGCAATTTTACAAGTCTTTTTCCTCATTCGAGTACACTGGCTTGGGCTGTAGTCAAACAAAGAGCGACGATTAAAAAGCTCTATTACCCAACCTTATTTGAGCCTCATTTTATAATTAGAAAAAGACATCCAAAGCAATTATACAGATGAGTATGTGGATTTAATGCTAGTGTATGAAATTGGTTTTAAAGCACCACCATGACAATTCCACACAGAGGCTGCAAAATTGTGCGACTCCTCCCAAAATACTCCTCTGCACTGATTTGAGCGATCCTACACTTCAGTGCATATGTATATACTAGCAATAAAAATGCCCCCCAGCTCTGGGGAAAGTTAGTGTTAGATTAAAACAGGTACCTTGTTATTCTGAATTAATAGACCGTTATTCCCCTCGGTATTTCCCTTAGAGGTTTGAATCTTCTAAAATATTGATCACCCAAGGGACTGCAGAGGTTTACCTAGAATCTCAAACAAGAGCAGAAGCCCCATATGGTTTCGTAATGGGTTTATAATTATACCTGCTTAATTTCCAAACAAAACCATCTTAATGTCACACTACTGACTCACTTTTTAAACTACTCTTCCTCCGTTTTCACAGCAAAGCTGACTCGCTTCAAACAATTCCCGTGAAGCGTTTTCCCAACCTATCAAGTGTGTAGACTACCAGTAGTCTCGCACTGCGGTCTCCCATTGATCCTAATTTTGTGTAGGCCTACACTCTTATTAAAGCTCTCTGCTGCAAGGCAGTGACAATGATGGGGCCTATGGTGACTAGCTGTGATTAGTTTGGTTTTCCCATGGATGACTACCCTGGGAAATATTTCAGCAATACCATAAGCCCATTACGGTGGGTTGAAACCATTAGCGTCCGCAGACTTTGTTTAGAGCGAATCGTCTGCAGTCGTGAGCAGGTTCACGCTGAGATGCAAATGTCGGCATTTGATTCCGGCTATGGCGGGAGGAAAAAAAGCATCTTAATTTGAACAAATGGAGGGAATCGTGTCAAGTAGCAGCTGTTTGGGTTTGGCTGCGGAATTTGAATTGGGCTGGAAAAAAACAAGCGCGGTAGATCAAGCAACAGCTGGCCGAAATGAACTGCGATGCGTCACTTTTTTTCCCCCCCGTTTGAGATCAGAGCGGCATGCTCAGCCTCCTCCTCGCCGCAAACATGTACATATACAGTCCGCCTCGGGTTCTCCCCATGGCTGGGCGGATGAAAGGCGGCTCTTCTTAACCTTATTAGTGACCCGGGCACTCGATCAATCCCATTGAGCCGTAGGTGCCTGGAAGGCCCATTTCTCCCCTGTTGTGCTGAAATGAAGCCGATGCAGCCTGCTTGACAGGGTAATTAGTTTTAATGAAATAATACAGCCATTTTAGACAGCAATTAAAACCTGCTTTCATTCCTCCCATTAGGGGAACTTAAGGTTTTGCTTTCATTCCGCTGCGTTCCGTAATAATCTCCAAAGCCGGCCACGTTAAATGGAACGCTTAAGCACCGTTAACCCTCAGGGGAGCTGCGGGCTGGCCGTCACTCCTCTCCAGCGGCCGCCAAAGTGGAAGAGAGAAATGCAAACAGAACCTTTATCACATGTGTCACTTTGTGCGGTTGCTCTAATTGCTGTCCTACACTTTCATATATACAGTCATGCTTACTGGCACATTTATAGCGGTGCACCCTGGAGCCTCCTGCTTCCATCTAACCAATTATTCAGGCCTGTTCCAAATTACTTCTTAAAGAAGCTGTCTCCTCCTTCGGCTAGAGCAGCGGTGACCTTGCGTTGGCATGCGCTGGCATGTTTATTTATTTATTGAAATAAACCTGCTTGATTCAAGGTCTCGTTGTGGAGGATCCTGATTAGCATAAGGCGAGGTTAACGTGTGTTTTGTGCAGCGAGGGTGGTGTTTATCACCTCTAATCAGGCCGCTGTTTCTTCAGGGTTCACCTTTTGGCCGCAGGTATGAGCGGCATTCAGTCAAAGGCCAATAAAGTTTAAGCTTCTTTCCTCGAAGGGCAACCAGGCTGCAAATCCATATGTGTCTGAAAGAAGCTTCCAGAAAAAGCTGTATCTCAGAGGGAGTGGTCAATGCCTCATGGCTAATGCTAATTAAAGAATAAAAATGAGAGATTGGGCGTTTCAGAGGGCCGTGAGAATGACAATCAGATAAAACCACAGAACGGAGCGCAAATAGCTGGAAAATAATAACTGAAGTGACAGGTAATTACGAGGATGGTATTCGTCACTGAGATAATAAACAAATATATGGTTTATCATCGCCGATGATGGCTGCTCTATATCCAATTATCCTTTTTTTAATTGAGTCGGGCATTTGGTGTTAAGTCAAGCCAGAAATACCCTCTCCCGTGGCTTCGACCAGCTTTTATCAGTCAAAAACACCACAGAAAATAACAAGCCATATCGTGTCATTAAGAGCACTGGTGCATACACAGCAGGGTGCCGCTGTGATCTTTTGAAGTTTGCTCCCATCAGCAGTATGTCCTGCTCTTTCCCAGAATCCCGACCCAGCCGAGAGCTTCATGTAGTACAATTGGTTAGGCAGCTCAATTAAATTTACATCATAGGATCTGAGTTACTTTTTGAAATATATAAAATGTATTTGTAGTTTTTGTGTGTCATGTAAAGTTAATATTTTCTGAATTAATCAGTCTTATTGAGTAAATCAGTTGAGTGAATGATTGTTTTGAACTAGTCGAATGAGTGATTCATTTACTCGCTTATAAAAAGAGTCACATTTCCTTCCTGAATCAGTGTTTTTGAACAGTTCAACTGATTTAATGTTAAAATTGCATAAATCACATTAAAATCGCATAAAATCATCATAATAGCAGCCACTTGTTTTATCAAACGAGTACATGGTTCATTTACTCATAAAGACATGCTGAATTCGGAACAACATAGTACTCTACTCGTTCCTAAATTAATCAGTGTTTTGAACAAATCTAATACATGAATGATTTATTGATTCACTCTTAGAAATAGTCACTTGTTTTGCTCCTGAATGAATTAGGAAAAAGTAGCAAAAGTAACTTAGTAGTGGGAGACTACATAATTGTTGTACTGTAACATAAATGTTTTATGTTTTATGAAACTGAGTAATGTTGTAATGTGTTACTTTTAAAGTAACACATTACTGATGAGTGGTGCTCATCAGTATCATTTCTCTATCATGGCAAAGGAGATGTGTGAAAGTTTGTCTTGCGTGATCATAGTGAAAGCGGTGGGTTTACTATTTTAGCTCCCTGTGCAATCAAGTGTTCAAGTTTCCTGACAAACTGCAGAAGAGATGAGTTCTAATTACTCCCTCTCTGTCTTTCTTTCTTTCTCCCCTGTCTCTCCTCTTTTCTTTTTTTCCTCCCCATCTCCTTTTCTCGCCACAGCAATTTGGGAAAATTTTGGATGTGGAAATTATTTTTAACGAGCGGGGCTCTAAGGTAAGTCAGCTGGAAGAGCAGTTCTTTGTCACTTCATACTTCTTCCTCCCCACAGGTCTCCTCTTCCCTTCATGAGCCGAATAATTACAGCTCTTACACAGCCGCAAAGTGACTCAAACGTCACACTCTCACACTCGCTCACACTGAGCCGAGACTCGTTTTGGAAAGGTAGCTACGCCAAGAGACAACTGAGCGGTTTCAGCTGAGTACGAGTCAACTTGCCCGGTTATATAATTCAGAGAAGTGAACGTCTGACCAACATGCAGTGATTCTGCTCTTAGAGCTGTCCCACTGTAATAAGATTCAGCTGTTTAAGTCTCCAGTCTTGCGCTAGAAAACGGGTTATATATAGCCATTCTTCCATACAGCACTGCTGGTCTCAAAGGAGGGTGACATTTTGCTTAGGAGAACTCCTCTCACCTCCTCCTAGGTGATTCACAGGGGTGAATCTGCTGGAACAAACCGTCACAGTGTACTCAACCTAAGCAACGCGCATTATAAGATCAGCCGATCGTTCACAAATAACCTGTTTCCCGCTGGCCTTTTGAATTCCTACGCAGTGGCTCTGTTTCAAAATCTAGTGAACTGCCTACATAGGGAGGCTTGATTCACAATGGATTCCAGTAGAGTTTGGCATTAGCATGTTACAAAGCTAACACGTTGATATGATAATATGCATAAAATTGCATTGCACATTCAATTATTGGGGAAAATAATAAACTTTTAAATGCACTAAAGTACATTTTACTGATTCCTTTCAGTATTGAATAACATGTTTTAAAAAAAATTTATATAAAATATTAGCATATTGTATGTATATATATATATATATATATATATATATATACTTATTCAATTTAAATTTGATGTATATGTATACAATAGCAGTTTTGATTATAAATATATTTATTCTTTATATGAAATTTTACCAAATAAAATATTAAAATAAAATATTACAAATATATTATAAAATATTACAAATTAAAATGTATTCAAAATAATATGTATTATATATTTATATTTAATATATTTTTAAGAACATGCTATTTCTAATAATATCAAATATTTGAATTATATAATTATAATTATATGTGCAGCGTTTTTATATTTATTGAAACAATTATTTATTTATGTATATTTACATTTATATAAAATCTATTTAATATGCTGACTTAAAATTTGTCCAAAAACAAGGTATCTTAGCAAGCATCATAATTAGGTTGCCTGCCTTTTGGAGCAGCCTCTGCACCTATGATCCCTTACTATACTGCCTCTGTAGACATGGAATGGAACAGACCAAGTACTGTATGTTAGTGTTATTTATAAGATAGTGGCTCAGCTTTCTAGCTGTGTAAGCTAATTAAATCCATGATAAAAGAGAAAAACTACAAGCGCTGTGTTGAACACGGTAGCGCAAAATGTCAACAGGATTAATTTTGCGGCCCATTCCTTTTTGATTTTTCTGTTTCCTCGCGGGCCAAGGACTCCTGGGCTGGTCTTTATTCATGCCAGACACAAGAAATGGAGTGTACATGTATGCATATAATACTCACAGGCCTCCCAAAGCAATTACTAGGCCGTACTTGCAAAGTGTGTATGAACTAAAAGACCAGGGCTTGTTCCACACTCTTGTTTGCTGTGCATACCTAATAGCTATTCCGGATATGGCGTTTGGGTTGCAGTTGGCCATAACTCATGGCTGACAGCGGAGGTGGGGGTGTGGGGACAGAGCAGGCGCTTCCTAGCTAGAGCGCAGGATTGTGTGCATTAAACCTCTGAGCTCCTATATGGCCTTGGAAACATTCCTTACATTAGTTTATATCATTTAACTACAAGGGCAACATCTGTAATTTATAAAGAATGAGTTTTATACTCAGCAAGACAGATGCGAGATGCACTAATGTACACATGCATGCATGCCAAATGTTTCAATATTAAGAAATGCAGAATATGTCATTGTTGGTTATAATCTTAGATTGCTTTGTCTCTTTTCCAGTGGCTCTCACCCTAAAGTAGGGCTGCACGATAAATCGTATTTTAATCGTGATCATGATTTCTGCCTTTAGTCGGTTTATTAAGCACATTCGTCTGTGATACTCTCCTGCTGTTGTTTAGTTTTTTTGTTCTTTGTTTTTTTATCCTGAAAACATTTGATTTAAATTTGGCATTAGCGTTTTCTTGCATTGGTAACAAGCCCTCAGAAGCATACATGGTTGCGGTTGCCAGATTTAAAGAATTTAAATCCCCCAATCAGATATTGTTTTTCAGAAATCGATACATTTTCTGACCAGTGGTTGCCTTGATCTTCCAAAACTGGCAACCATGTGCTCTCTGTCATTACGGAAAAAGCAATGGCGAGCTGAAAACTGCAAACATGTCATTTGTAATTTATTGATCTCCTCAAACAAGTGTTATACAATCAGTATGATTTCTTTCATGCAGTTGTTTGCTGTGACTAAATCTGCAAGCAAAATATATAAATAAATTGTGCTTTTGTAAAATTGCATTAATTCTGATGAAATGTATAAAAAAAAATGAATTAAACAATAATAATTGTATTTAAAAACCATCATAATATATTTGTGCAAAATAATCGTGATTAACCATTTAACCATTATCGTGCAGCCCTACCCTAATGTCCTAATTTCACCTCTTACTAATGGATAGCAGTTGCAACCCTGCTGACTATGACCTCTTTCTCTTCTTTCCTCTTTCTTCTTTTCACGCTCACTCTTATTTGTTGCCCATTCAAATATCTTCAACCACCCTTTCATCCTCTATTGGGAATCCTCTATGATCACATCATCTCAGGGTTTTGGTTTTGTAACTTTTGAAACAAGCATAGACGCAGACCGCGCACGGGAGAAATTAAACGGTACAATCGTAGAGGGACGCAAAATTGAGGTGCTTTCTTAATCTAACTATCAATACCTCACCATCCCCATCCCATGAGAACATAAGCACTATCGGTTTAATGGAACATGCTTGCGCCCTCTCATTGCATCCCAAACGCTCACTCGCTGTGTGCATGCTGCATGTTTCATGTGTCTTTGGTTTTGTGGATAAGTATTACTTGTGACATATGTGATAATTATTGTGTATGTGTGTGTTTGATGTGCATGCCATCAGATTTTATTCTTTTTTGCTTTGATGTGTATGTGCAACTGTATTTAAAGAAGCTTTTGAACTTTTTATCATCACTTACAGTGTGTTAACCGATGCTCCATCTCTAAAAATATACATTTTATTTTCATCTCGAGATATCAAAGGCCTGTCAGCGTAACTTTAAATCCCACTTGTTTATCCCAAACAGCCGAGGTTTATTTCTTCTTTCACATGTCTTGCTTGAGGACACAGTCTTTTTTTCTCTTTTTTCCCCTCTTCTCCACAGGGCTGTTAAGATTTTCTATAGGACAATTAAGATAATTCATGTAATGCACAAACAATACCTAAACCTATATATCAAGGGAGAGTCGAGGCCAGTTGTTTCTTCAAGCTAAATGACCTCCATGGGCCCTGTGGAACGGAAAGCTATTAACGCTAATTAGCATGAGGGTGAAATACTAACATGGCTTCTGTTGCCAGCGGCCATGTTTAAATTCCTTTGGCGTCTCCCAACAAGCTGCTTGGCTTTGCTGTGTGTTACTAAAGCCCCTTTAAGGCAAATCAGTTCACTCGACGGCCATCTTGGTAACATCCCTGAGTGGATATTTTCTGTGTAGGCAGCAGGCATGCAAGTGCAGCTTCTATTTACTTGAAGGCCGAAAGCTCTGTGAAGATTATATGTTAATGATATAATAAAATCAACAACGGTTTCATGTAGCTCAAAAAAATATATAGATTTTTTTCAGGCTGGTTCAGCTACAGTGCATGTGCAAGTGCAAATAAACCAGCTGCCATAAGTGTTCTGATTTCATTCATTTTCTGTTTTTATGTGTAACCTGAAGAGCTTGTACAATATGACTCCTCCTTCCTGAGGTTAAATTTAGTGCTCATGAAGCCGCCGCCCCAGGATTGTAGTGTCTGGGAATATGTAGAACTGTCTAGACAATGTGGCAGATTAAATTGCGTAGAAGGCCTCAAGGAAGCTCCCTCAGCTTGGCTAGTGGGGAATTCCAATATACTCTGGGTTTCATTAAAGCCCATTTCCAGAGTTGCTCTGTTTCATTACATGTTGAACCAGATGTCATCATCCAGCTCTTCTACAAACAGCCTGGATTAGATCCTACATCCAGCAGGAAAACAGAAGATCAGAGCTTGATGGATCGCTTTCATTTTTAGCATCTCATAATTTTTCAACTGATAATTAGAGCATGTGAATGTTGTTTTTTTTTTTACTTTTTACCGAGAAGCATGAACCAGATTTTTGTCACACTCATGCCTGTGGCATATGTGCCTGTATTCTTTATGTGTTTTGATTTGGGTTTTGCTTCTTATGTCTACTTATTCTTCACAGGTAAATAATGCAACGGCACGAGTAATGACAAACAAAAAAGTGGCCAACCCATATACAAACGGTAAGAACTTTTGTTTTTTTTACCGTGAAAACATTCAGTGCCCCCAAATGTAATTTTATACTATTTATAATATTTCATTATCAAACCAAGCAACATATGCACAAAAAAGGGCTTTACCCTAACAGTATTTCTAATGTAAAATATAATTTAAAACCCAATTCTATATATTTTTATGAATAATTATAAAAAATTATAATTATAATGTTTTTTAATTAATTTCAAACACAATTATTTATTGTTTTATAAATAATTTAATACAATTATATTTTTATTTTTTTGGTACTGTTTTTTTTTAACATCTTTTTGTCAAATGTTTTGTTTGATAAATGTGGGCCCTTTAAAATATAAATCCCATTTGGTTTGATATTTAACTATGAATAGCTATTCTCATTCTTTATTTAATTTATAACCCAATTCTTTATTTTTTTTTATTATTATTATTTATTTTTATAAATAATTATATAAAATTATCTTTTTTTATATATATAATTTTAAAAACTCCTTGTGAAATGTTTTAGTTCTTTAAAGGAAATCCCACTTGGTTTGATATTTTGTTATCTAATGCAGTTTAAAGTTTGCTAATTCTTTTTAGGGCTTCTCTTTTAAACTATCATCAAGTATAATATGAATGATGTAATGTCCACTTTGTTTCCCACTAATAAAGGGGCTTAATGTAAAGAGTGATCTCGTCCTCTACAGCTCTTCTTACGCTGTTCGGGAACTCCAGGGGGAGAGCTTAGCTGATATGGATCAGGGTAGAGAGGTGGCTCATTCAGCGCAGGGGTCTTGGTGGGGTCCATTATTATTTATTTTTATAAATAATTATATAAAATTATCTTTTTTTATATATATAATTTTAAAAACTCCTTGTGAAATGTTTTAGTTCTTTAAAGGAAATCCCACTTGGTTTGATATTTTGTTATCTAATGCAGTTTAAAGTTTGCTAATTCTTTTTAGGGCTTCTCTTTTAAACTATCATCAAGTATAATATGAATGATGTAATGTCCACTTTGTTTCCCACTAATAAAGGGGCTTAATGTAAAGAGTGATCTCGTCCTCTACAGCTCTTCTTACGCTGTTCGGGAACTCCAGGGGGAGAGCTTAGCTGATATGGATCAGGGTAGAGAGGTGGCTCATTCAGCGCAGGGGTCTTGGTGGGGTCCTGAGCTCTTCCGCTGGTGCTCATTCCTTCAGACTGCAATGGAGAGAGAGACAGAGAGGGAGAACAAAATAATCAAATATATCAGCAGTAGTGTAGACCCCCCAGCTCTACTTCAGTCACAGCCAATGGGGAGTGAGAGGAGGCTATTTTACAGCCCCCATCTATCACTGACAGCACACCGGACAGCACTCACTACTCTCTTGCTCTCTGTCTCTCATTCTCCCTCTCTCTTTCGCATCCTATATTGCTCGCACTCTTCCGAATGCCCCGATATTGCCGCCCCCTAACTCCTTCAACTTAATGTTGCCTTAAATATTTTCCTGTCATATCACATCTCCTCCTCTCCCTCCTCCTCCTTTTCTTTTGTTCTTTCCTCCGAGTCTCTACAGTTTCTTTTCAAATTCCCGCCAGTTACTTGAATTAATCGGCGAAAGATCGAGAAACAAACACTCCACAGGTCAAGGCGATAAGCATTCGCAGCTAATTCTCTCTTCCCCTGTGTATTCCTCTACAGGCTGGAAGCTGAATCCAGTGGTGGGAGCTGTCTATGGTCCTGAATTTTATGCAGGTAAACTGCATTTGAGTGTTGTGGTCACAGGGCCCCGCTCGGATACTTACTTTAATTCACTTTTTGTCAGATATGCTTTGATTTCTAGATCAAATTCAGACACAGGCGCTTCAGAGAGACACTTAAGAGATGATTTTAAATCGTGGCCCAGTTCTCCCATCCCGCACGGTGCATTTGACAATGCGATAATCAGCCAGGCCATCATTTCCCACTGAGATGAAACAGTGGTACGGACTGTTTTCTGAATCGCAGATTAGGAGCTGTCTTTGTTTGACTGACTTGTTGTCTTTTTTGTGCTGTTGTTTGCCCTCTCGGTCTTTGATTTCTTTATTGCCCTGAGTTCTTTGAGCCCTTTGCATCCTAATGAGGGGGAAATGGTATTACAGTATTTCATTTGGAAGAAGTGCTGAGCACATAGCAGCTCTTTAACGGCCTGCCTTTTTGCTCATTAGACTAAAATCTGTTCATTTCAGGACAGCTTTACAGCAAAACTCTAAATAACCATCAGTGACAGAAAGCAGTCGTTTATCATTTTTATCTGACTTTTTCCCCCTCCCTTTCCTCCCTCCCTCCTTTGATTCTGGCATACATAAATGCACAATCCAACGTAGCCATTACATGAATCGAATGCGTGCGATGTGCATATGTACTGCGCGTAAAAATGCAAATATGCTAAGCAATCCGGTGCTTGTAAAATGTTTATGCATGCTTTGACCCCTAAGTATGCTCTGAAACATGCATGTGATTCCTTCTCTAATCGCAACAAATACACCTCCATGCCTCCCATGTGAACATACACCTTCCCAAAACATCCCATCAAATCAGATTTACCCTGGTCCGGCACTTCAGCGGCTTGGCTCGGGGAGCCGGTGTCGCTTGATTTATTGGATGCTAATTTTTCAAGTCATCTTAACATGCCTCTAAAGTTCCCCAAGCCTAAACGACACCATATGCCTCCTCTGTTCCCTGGGGGGCGACCGGTGGAGAAGCGACAAAATGGAAATAAGATATAGATTTCATTTACTAAATAAGGAATCTTCCGGAATGGCTGAAACGGATGCCCACGTGTTGCCCCTCGTTTCCCTCCCACCGTTCAAAAAACAGGGAAGCTTTCACGTGAAATAATTATGATTGATTTATTGGATGCTAATTTTTCAAGTCATCTTAACATGCCTCTAAAGTTCCCCAAGCCTAAACGACACCATATGCCTCCTCTGTTCCCTGGGGGGCGACCGGTGGAGAAGCGACAAAATGGAAATAAGATATAGATTTCATTTACTAAATAAGGAATCTTCCGGAATGGCTGAAACGGATGCCCACGTGTTGCCCCTCGTTTCCCTCCCACCGTTCAAAAAACAGGGAAGCTTTCACGTGAAATAATTATGATTGCATTTAATGTACTTTGTTGGGGGAGGGGGCGGTGCTGAAATCGAATGTAAAGGTGATTAATCACTGTTTATCAGTCCGAGTTTCTGTGCGGGAGATCAGCGGAATTGGGCACCATAAATCGTGCGCTGCTGACAGCGCACTCCGTCTCCATTCGTCCGGGTGCTACAGGTTTATTGTCCTCAAATCCCATTCAGGAGAATGACTGATGAGGGCCGCCGACTGCCTGCTTTTAACCTCTTCCAGGGAAGTCGGGCTTCTCTCTTCCCCGTAAGACTCCCTCCCTGGCTCTCATTTCTCCACTCCTCTAGCTTTTCACAGCCTTCTCTCGACATATATCGCTAATTCTATTTCTCTCTTCATCTAAGCCTGGGGTGTTTTCCATCTGCCCTTTCCTTACTCACTCACTCTATCTTTAAATCTCAATATCTTCCTTCTCTCGTCTTCCCTCAGTCTCTCGCTCTCCCTCAGGCTCTTAAGTAGCACTCGGTAGCCAAAATTAGAGATGCAGATGTGAGGTTGAGGCGCTAACCGTGCATGGGAAACTTAATTGTGTAATCTTGGGGTCGTTTTTCCTATCTTGCTCAATCCGTACAGGCAGCACAAGCATGAAGGGAGCGGAAAACATAATATTGATTGACTGACAGCTCTCTCAGCCAGAGAATTCGGTCCATGGCAGCATGTTGAGACAAACACGGCCAATAAGATTAAAATGCAAAGTAGAAAGCAAGAAATGTTCATGTTTTAAATAAAGATGATAAAATATTTTCAGGGATGTTTGGTTCCAGGCCATGTGTGTCTGATCCAGAAAAATCATTGGCTCAAAACATACTGTACACGAGTACGTAAACCCAGACAGTTTTATTTCAACACAAGTACTCACTGCATTCTCAGTGTTGCCACGAGAGGGAGCTATAGCGGGCATTAGCTAGCTGCCGTCTTCTACGTTTATACAGTCTACTACTGTCATGGCAGAACTCTGAGAATCAATTTGAGCAATTTAATTAGTTACATTAATTAGATACATAGGTAAACTCATAAAATGTTATAACTAGCTATTAGAATGACAACACATCCAGTTGAAAGGGACAGTTCACCCAAAACGTCTCGGGTTACTTATGTAACCATGGTTCCCTGAGTAGGGAACGAGACACTGCGTCCTCTAGGGGTCGCTATGGGGAACGCCTCGTCGTGACTCGTATCTGAAGCTGTTCCCTGGGGGGCGACCGGTGGAGAAGCGACAAAATGGAAATAAGATATAGATTTCATTTACTAAATAAGGAATCTTCCGGAATGGCTGAAACGGATGCCCACGTGTTGCCCCTCGTTTCCCTCCCACCGTTCAAAAAACAGGGAAGCTTTCACGTGAAATAATTATGATTGCATTTAATGTACTTTGTTGGGGGAGGGGGCGGTGCTGAAATCGAATGTAAAGGTGATTAATCACTGTTTATCAGTCCGAGTTTCTGTGCGGGAGATCAGCGGAATTGGGCACCATAAATCGTGCGCTGCTGACAGCGCACTCCGTCTCCATTCGTCCGGGTGCTACAGGTTTATTGTCCTCAAATCCCATTCAGGAGAATGACTGATGAGGGCCGCCGACTGCCTGCTTTTAACCTCTTCCAGGGAAGTCGGGCTTCTCTCTTCCCCGTAAGACTCCCTCCCTGGCTCTCATTTCTCCACTCCTCTAGCTTTTCACAGCCTTCTCTCGACATATATCGCTAATTCTATTTCTCTCTTCATCTAAGCCTGGGGTGTTTTCCATCTGCCCTTTCCTTACTCACTCACTCTATCTTTAAATCTCAATATCTTCCTTCTCTCGTCTTCCCTCAGTCTCTCTCTCTCTCCCTCAGGCTCTTAACTAGCACTCGGTAGTCAAAGCCAAATTAGAGATGCAGACGCGAGGCTGAGGTGCTAACCGTGCGCGGGAAACTTAATTGTGTAATCTAAGGGTCATTTTTCCTACCTTGCTCAGTCGAACGGGCAGCATGTGCATGAAGGCGCAGAAAACATAATATTGATTGATTGACAGCTCTCTCAGCCAGTGAATTCGGTCCATGGCAGCATGTTTGGACAAACACAGCCAATAAGATTAAAATGCAAAGTAGAAAGCAAGAAATGTTCATGTTTTAAATAAAGATGATAAAATATTTTCAGGGATGTTTGGTTCCAGGCCATGTGTGTCTGATCCAGAAAAATCATTGGCTCAAAACATACTGTACACGAGTACGTAAACCCAGACAGTTTTATTTCAACACAAGTACTCACTGCATTCTCAGTGTTGCCACGAGAGGGAGCTATAGCGGGCATTAGCTAGCTGCCGTCTTCTACGTTTATACAGTCTACTACTGTCATGGCAGAACTCTGAGAATCAATTTGAGCAATTTAATTAGTTACATTAATTAGATACATAGGTAAACTCATAAAATGTTATAACTAGCTATTAGAATGACAACACATCCAGTTGAAAGGGACAGTTCACCCAAAACGTCTCGGGTTACTTATGTAACCATGGTTCCCTGAGTAGGGAACGAGACACTGCGTCCTCTAGGGGTCGCTATGGGGAACGCCTCGTCGTGACTCGTATCTGAAGCATACATTGAAAAAACACCAACTCGTTGGCCGGCGACAGCCATGACGTCACTACCGGTGCGACTACAGTATAAATCGGTGCCGGGAGCTACACATCGTTCACTTCTTCGTCTGAAGCTTGCGTCCGCAGCATGGCAAGAAACCTAGAGGACGCAGTGTCTCGTTCCCTACTCAGGGAACCATGGTTACATAAGTAACCCGAGACGTTCCCTTTCATGGGAACTTCGAACTGCGTCCTCTAGGGGTCGCTAGGGGGAACGGTATACCCACGCCACCATGCTGAGGGGAATGCAAGCCAGAACCATGGCGAGCACTAAGAACCAACTCTACCATATTGCTATGGGAGTTGCCCCTGGGACGTTTAGACGGCTGTCAGTGACGTTATTCCCTACGGCCAAAGGCCTAGGCTACATACCCCAAAATACTTACCTGTTAGGGCCAGACTCCTGGGCCCGGGGTAGAGCTCAAGGCTTGGAATCAGAAACAGATTCCTTTAAGGGAATACGACCAAGAGCCTAGAATCATACTAGTCTTGGTCTGTCACACAGGGGCTACCGCACGTTTGTCTTGTGGTGAAGGAACTGTCTCAACAGATCCTTAGTAGCAATACCCTGTTAAGTAGGTATCCAGAGGATACATAGGGGGAGTGGTGCCCAAGGCAGAACCGGGGTTTTAAACCACTCAAAAAGAGCACGAAGTCTTGCGCGTAGCTCTTACCATACAGGATTTTTAGAAAAGTGGGCAAAGCATAACGTGCGCACTTACCAGCTATGTGGATTTTAGAAAAGTGGGCAAAGCATAACGTGCACACTTACCACTTATGTGGATTTTAGAAAAGTGGGCAAAGCATAACGTGCACACTTACCACTTATGTGGATTTTAGAAAAGTGGGCAAAGCATAACGTGCACTACACTTGCATACCGTTCTAGGGGTTCTCGTGGCACCCTGAAAAGGCAGCCTATAGATAAAAATAGCGTATCCCCAGACGCTATATCTACGGCTATAATGCTGGAGTGGCTAG